CCTGGTTACCTTGGATATTTTCTGCTGAATTTTTTCTTGTTTCGTGAATCCACTCCTTTTGTATTTAAATATGTACTTAATTTCAGAAATTACTTTTGGTTTTTTAGCTCTAGCGGTTTCGTTTGATTTTGATTTTTTTTCCTTAATTGACTTCTGTCATCTCTTCTTTTGTACGTCTTGGTTATTCGATGCTATCACTTTGACCCTGACTCATCTCTACAGCTGAATGAAACACTGCGTGAGTCTGTGCCATCCTCAGAATTTTTAGTAAACTTGAGTCCATGGTTGCAGCCACTGCGTTAGTCCATCTTGTTGACGATCTCCCTCTTTTTGGCTGTTCCTCGTCTTTACCAAGTATGACGTCCTTTTCCAGGGACTCGTCCTTCCTTATAACATGCCCAGAATATGTCAGATAAAGTCTCGTCCTCCTTGTTCCCAAGGATCAGTGTGATTGTACTTCTTCCAAGGCAGACTTGTTTGTTTTTCTAGCAGTCTATGGTATATTTAATATTCTTTGCCAACATTGTAATTCATATGAATCGGTTTTTCTGTAGACTTCCTTCTTCATTGATGTGCACAAGAGGCAATTGAAAAGACCATGCTTGGGTCAGCCACACCTTACTCCTCAAAGTGACATCATTGCTCAGACACTATAAAGAAGTCATTTTGCAGCAGATTTTCCCAATAAAATGCATCATTTATTTCTTGACTGTTGCTTCCATGATTGTGGATTCAAGTAAAATGAAGTCCTTGACAACTTTGATCTTTTCTGTATTTATCATGATGTTATCTTTTGATCCAAATCTTCTCAGCTGGTCTTATTTTCTTTTCTCATGTTAATCCTACTTAGAGATGATTTGGCAGCTCTAATGCCAAGTTATCTTTGTGTCTCTTTCTCTTGTGTTTGCTTTTCTTGGCCCAGCTCCTTGGTACGTTTAGGAGATTGTCCAGGCTGTTCATCACGTTTGCTGCCACGACCGTAAGTGGTGCTGGCTCATGTCCATCTCCACGTCAGCAGGGAGTCGCTGAGCTGCCACGAGGCTGGACTGCAGCCCTTGGGCAGCCCTGGTCTACGCTGGGTCTTGGGCATAGCAGCCCTGTGGTGGTCCCACTGAGAACTGGGGCGATTTCCTAGGATCCCTTCTCTTAGAAATACTCGATGACCAGTTTCTGTCTCTTCAGCACCATGAGAGAGAAGAGCGCTCTGCTCTGCACTGCAGTGACGTAGACTCCTTTCCTTGCTCCTCCTCACTGCTTAACAATTTAGCAAACGACTTTAGGAGAAAACCTCTGTCTGTCACCATTATTTCTTGTCCCTTTTTTCTCTCTGACTGCCTTGGCCTCCCTGCGCCCTCTGCCCGAATCCTTAGCTCTTTCGTTCTGTGGGGAAAACAGCCTGTAGAATGTAGGCATGTGAGTTTCCTTTTCTGCGGACTCTTGCATTTCAAGTCCTGGCTGCTGGAACAGCTCTATGATATCTTCAAAAGGGTATTCCTGCCCCACCCCACCCCCACCCCTAGGTTTTATAGTTCTCAAATGTATGCTGTACCCTCTACTGTTTTACCTGGGAGCAGAAGTCCCACATAATGAAAAGAAAATGACGCTCATGATTCTAATGCATAGTGGGAATTTTGAATATCCTGTTTTACTTTGTTCTTCTGACCACTGCACTGTCTCCCTGGGAATCTCCCTTTCCCCACTCTGTATTATCCTTGGTGGGCTCCACGTGTCTACACCACAGAGCACAGTGGGCATCCTTGTAGCATCCACTTCCCCAAGTGTGATGCCCTCCAGGGTCTGGTCCCTTCTGATAATCTATCAAAGTCTGAGAGATGAAGTCTGACCATGCTGGCTTCTAAAGAACATTCTGGCTGTATCTCTTCTAACACAGATTGTAAAGAGGTCATGTTCAAAAGATTTTGCGTACTGCTGTGTTTCATTTGGAGTCCTGGTGTGGCACTGTGGGTTAATGTGCCAGACTACAACACCGTTTGAACTGCAAGGTTGGTGGTTCAAGCTCACCAGCTGCTCCTTGGAAACCCTCTACAGGGTCGCTATGGGTCGGAACCGACTCGATGGCATTTAACAACAACAACATATTTCATTTGATTTGTTGACCGCTACTTCCATGAGTGTTGATAGTTGATCCAAGAAAAATTCTTTGAAGAAGATTTTTCTTTTCTTTACATTGTAGGAAAAGGTCTTGTGCAGCAGATTTGATTTCGTTGTAGTTTTCTATAAATTGTAGGTATTAGTCTCCTGTCTGATGTCTTTGCAAAAAAAAAAAAACTTTTTTCCTAGGTTGTGAGATCCCTTTTGACTTTTTTAGGAAATCTTTTTTTTTTAAGTTTTTATTGTGAATTGAGTGATAGTTTACATGGGGGAACATCAGCTTTACATTCATCCTTTCATATTTCGTTTCACTGTAATGATTACAATCCCCTCCATGCATCATCAAACAACCAAAGGGTACACCCCTGCAAGCTCGTGCCCCTCCCCCCCCCCCCAGCCGCTCCATCTCTCCACGTCATCATCTCTGCCTCCATCTCTGGCATCACTGTTTCTCTGGGTAGGGTCCCACACTCCACTCATCTCCTTTGATGGTCCCAGGGACCTCCGCTCCTGGACTGCAAAGGCAACCACTCCCCTCCTTTTGTCACAAAACATCTACCTTTACATTTGCAACATTCACAGTCAGTCCTGATAGCAGTTATTCACTATTGAACCACAAGAGGCTTATCCCCATCTCCTTTCAATAGCCCTGTCCAGACAGGTTGGAAACCACTCAGTGGAGATTCTGCCTTCTTCTGCATCCTCTGGAACTAGGCTCCCTCTTGAAAGCTTGTAAGCCAGTCACTTTGTGCCTTTGTAGCCCACCCATTTTGGGTAGCCAGTGTCTAAGATGCCCATCCCTGTCTACCCTCTGTACCAAGGGAGGGGAGTGATCCTCACTGTAAAGATTTATTCCCTCTTTTGAGCTACTACATCCATGTGTATAGGTCAAGTTCATCAAATTATAGTGAATTACTCTTTTACTCTTCTTTCTTCTGTAGTCAGGTTGTGATCAGCCCCTCACTTCGTATCAGCTGGATACTTCACTCTCTGCTCTAGTCCTCCTGGTCCAGTGCAAGGTTAGGTGTTAAGTGCCATCGAGTCGATTCCAACCCATAGCGACCCTGTAGGGGGTTTCCAAGGAGCAGCTGGTGAGCTTAAACCACCGACCTTGCAGTTCAAACGGCTATGCAGTCTGGCACGTTAACCCACAGTGCCACACCAGGACTCTAAATGAAATACAGCATTATGCAAAATATTTTGAACAAGACCTCTTTACAATCTGTGTTAGAAGAGATACAGCCAGAATGTTCTTTAAACGCCAGCATGGCCAGACTTCATCTCCAAGACTGAGACTCAAGGGGAATACATGAGAAGGCATGTGGTCGTGCTTGTGATCACGCTGGTCTACCGATAAGGGGAAGTGGGAAAATAGCAATGAAGTTGTGAGCTAAGTCCGAGCACGTTCAATAGATTCATGTAAACCTGGGTTGAGACCTGGATGGCTAGCAATATGGCAAGACCTGGGACTCCTAATAAATTTTCTTTATTGGGAAATGCTGTAAAGAGCTGTGCACATGTCCAAGGGGACTTCAAAAAGTTCTTGGAAAAATGAATTTAAAAGATAAGGAAAGTTTTCTATGAATGTTTGAGCCTTCCTTATACATGGATAATCTTCAACCTTCAAAATTGCTCTCACAAAGCTTGGGTGAGAAGACAGGAGAGACTTTGGTCATCCTCACCCTTGCTTTTGCCCATGAGATTGGTCTTTCTGGAGTCTGACTTGCACCTGGCTGCAGGTGCTGTACTTGCTTAAAGGCTCTGGCCTTCTGGTCCTTACTGTCCTAGTCTCTAGACTACACCTCACTGTGCACATGTCCTCCTTCCAGAACAGTGACCTGTCTCTCAAGCCCACCTTTATTTCACCTTCCTCCTTCTCCCTGTCCCTCCCGCCCACCTCTTTCCATACTGGAATGGTGGCTGAGGGTCATAGTTCATAGTTCAGGGTTCCATTCGTCTTCCTCAGACCAGCCTGGTCCTCTGGATGACTTTGAGTTTGGGTCTGTATTTTGGGGAGTGGGGGCTTTCTAATGGCAAGGACTCAGCTTTGTCTTCTGGCATTTCTGAGAGACCAGCACAGTGACATGTAACGGGTAGATGAGAAGAAGGTATTTTTATTTGCTTGCCGGGTTTGTAGGTGCCACAAAGATTCTTAGTTCCTGTGGTGGGCGGTGAGGTTTTACTGCAGGTCTCAATGAAGAGGCTAGTGTGACCATTTAAAACATTGAGAACTAATCAGAGTGACCAGCATAGAGGATGTTCGTTTTTCTCCCGTGTTGGAGCCCAGACTGCTCTGGCCGAGGCCTCGCTGGGGACCTCTGTTCTGGGGCTCACCTTGTCTGCTTGTGTTTTGCCCACTGCCTAAGCCTGTGCTTGTCTGCACGTCACAGCGGGCCCACAGCAGTGTCTCAGTGCCATCTGTGCCAGCCTAGGACAGGGTTTCAGGGACTGGGAGCTGCACTCTATTCAGCCACCGGGACGACTTGGCCACACCTAACCACAGGGGAGGCTGTGCCGCTGAACCTGGGAGTCTTTGTCACTATAAGGAGGAGGAGAGTGATCACTGCGGGCCGTTCAGCAGGCATGTTAGGATGCATAACTAGTATACTTCAGTAGTGGGCAGTGCTGAGCGACCAACTGACAGTCGGAAGGGGAGGCTGCACTTGAACTCCGGAGAGAACAGGAGCAGGGCCCGCTGGTCATTTGCCTGGGATGTGGGACTTCAGGGCCGCCACTGAGAAAGCCCTCAGCAGGCCGAGATGAGGCACTCAGCCCACCTAGCTCTGGGCTTGTGGCATGAAGGGGTGGGCCTTCCAGGAAGAGGTCCCCACCCCTGGTCATCCCCTCACAGGTGACTGATACCAGCACTGTTGCATTTCTCTTTCCAGATCCGGTGAGCCTGGCCTACCAGCGGGTGCAGAAGGTGGACTGTGCGTCTCTGCGACCCGTCCTGATTTTGGGGCCCTTGCTGGACGTGGTGAAGGAAATGCTGGTGAATGAGGCACCGGGCAAATTCTGCAGGTGCCCCCTCGGTAAGGGCAGCCCTGGTCTACGATATTCCTCAGAGGGTGGCTCAGCTGAGGAGACCTGGGCCACACCAGGAGGCCGCTCCGGGCCCTTTCTCCTGGGACGTGGTAACCCACCTCCAAGAAGCCACAGTGTATGAGCTTGGCTTTAGTGACGTCTATATCTGGTCTTTACAGAGGTGATGAAGGCTTCCCAGCAGGCCATTGAGCGAGGTGTCAAGGATTGCCTCTTTGTGGATTATAAGCGGCGGAGCGGCCACTTCGACGTGACCACAGTGGCTTCTATAAAGGAAATCACGGAGAAGGTATCCATTGCTTTTGGTCAGGAATCTGGCACCCGTGTGAGCCTGAGGCTCCGGCTCCCCTGAGTGTGTGTGTGTGTGTGTGTGTGTGTGTGTCTGGGGGCCCTGGGGCCCTGCATGTCTCAGACCACAGTGAGCTCTCCCACACCGTCATCGGCCAGGGCCCCTTCTCCTTGTAGCCCTCGTGTGTTGTATGAGCCGAAGTTCTAGCTTTTCTGCTAATTCCCACCTGTCTGTTCTGAGGGCTTTGAACTTTGACCTCTAAAACAGTGTCCCGAGTATGTCTGCTGGACTTGAGTGCAGAATTTGATGTTTGTGGCATTATTCTGGGGAGAGGGACGCAGCCTCCCTGGGTCCTTTCAGGGGAACCCTGGCCCTGAAAGTTAAAGCGGTTGCCGTGTGTTTCTCTTGGGCATAGTTGGCTGCATTTGTAGCATGAAGGAGGCATGTGTGTGCATTGGGTGGGGGCGGATCTGCAAGTGTGGGAAAGGTAGGCACTCTGCCCTGCGCCGTCCACATTGGTGGTCAGTCCCCTTTGCTGGGTGACTTGAAGGGATTGGTTTCTTAGGGCTTTTAGGTGCACAGTGTCCAGTTGAAGTGGTCACCCTTATGTCAGAGGTGGCCCAGGAAGCTAGATAGTTTGTCAATGGTTTGACCCCTCAGTGGAGCCTCTTTGGGTGAGTGGGTGGGTGGGGACCCACGGGGTGCTTATGGCTGAGGCTCAGGGACCCAGGACATAGTTTGGTGACAGCTGTGCAGAAACACACACTCCTTATTCCTGACTGCAGTTCCCTCTTTCTGAGGCCAGGGTCAGGGAGGCTTTAAGTAGGTCCTAGTATCTGGGTGAGGACAGGACAGGAAACTTGGGAGCTGCCCGCAGCCCAGTCTTTACTGCCTCTGCCACTAACAGGCAGCAGGGAGATGTTTCCTTGGGTTTCTTCACGGTTTATTGTGTGTATGTGTGTTATTGGGTTTGCTGCTTTGTTCATGGTTAGAACGTTAGGTGTCGTTTATAGAGGAAGGAAGAGCTGTACAAAGTGAGGGCTTGAGACCCTGGGGTGTTTTGCCTTGGAGAGGAGAGGAGCTGGCGGGGGTGGGGGGGCCCTCAAAAAGGCCTACCGCGTGCTCCCAGCCAGCAGTCTCTGTCCCTCTCGTCTCCCTCAGAACCGTCACTGTGTCCTGGACATTGGCCCGCATGCCATCGAGCGGCTTCATAACATGCACATCTACCCTATCGTCATCTTCATCCGCTACAAGAGCGCGAAGCACATCAAGTAGGTGGCTGGTTGCCAGGCCTCCCCTGGGCTTCGTGGGGGATAGGGGGGCGCTGCTATCCAGGAAGCCCCAAGCAGCAGGCTCACGTGGGTTGGTATAGAAGAATGAGAAACACACCAATTTAGTCTTAAAATTGTCAGCATTTGTAGGGAAGGATCTTCTCCTCCATGGGCCCCTGACTGGGAGCATGGGTCCGTTCCAGCCCTTTCAAACCCCCTTACCTCCTGCTTCTAAAGACACTGGGAACCTGGAGACTTGGGCTCGGTCCAGCTTCTCCATGAGTTAGCTGACTGTGACTTTCCCTCCTTGTCGGGACCAGTTCCCGGCAGCATCCCCTTGTTTCACCTTCCTGTGCTTCTGACCTTCCATACCTGCCATTGGGACCTGGCTGGTACACACACTGAATGCCCACCTTCCCCTTCCTGCCTGGGTCTCTCTCTGGAGCCCAAAGTGGCTGTGCTTTTTGAGGGGTACACACAGAAGTGCCCCCATCTCCCAACATACCCCTGCCGCCTCATGCCCCCATCTTAGTGGTTGCAAAGGGAGAGAAATGGAGGGCCTAGGAGAGCCGAGATAAGCTCAGCTGTCACCCCTGCTTTGTCCCACCAGGGAGCAGAGAGACCCTGTCTACCTCCGGGACAAGGTGACCCAGAGGCATTCCAAAGAGCAGTTTGAGACGGCTCAGAAAATTGAACAGGAGTACAGTAGGTACTTCACAGGTAGGTGGGCACTGGGAGAAGCAGCGGGTAGAATGCAGAGGTTTTCCAAGGACGCCTGTCTTACAGCTGGCGTTGCTAGGGCGCTTGCCGAATGAATGCGTGCCGCTGCCATCACTGGTCAGTCACTGGCCAGTGGATATGTACATAGGTTCTTACCTGAGCCGGGTAGTGGGTAGCAGGTCTTCCTTGCAGCGCAAGTACCATGTCGCATGGCTCCATCACCCAGAGCAGGCCGGGAACTATGCTGAACTGGCCCACAGCATCCTCTGGGAAGACTGGCTTCACCCAAGGGTTATTGTGTCTGGCCTTGGAACACAACTGTCTTGGGTCTGATTTATCTATGGCTGTTTTACTGTTTGCTTTTCATGAAATGAAAGAACCCGTTGTTACAGTGGTTAAGCGCTTGGCTGCTGGCCACTCTGTAGGAGAAAGAGGCAGCAATGATTGTTATAAAATGCCGTCTAGTCAGTTCCAACTCATAGTGACCCTATTTAGGGTTTCCGAGGAGTGGCTGGTGGGTTTCAACTGCTGATCTTGCGGTCCAAGCTAACCTCTGTAAAGAATACTGCCTTGGAAACCGTATAGGGCAGTTCTACTCTGAGCGTCACTACGAGTTGAAATTGACTTGATGGAATTAAATTTTGCTTGTAGTTACCTGTTGTTAAGTTTAATCGAGTCGGTTCCAATCCATAGTGACCCTTATAGGGTTTCCAAGGAGTGGCTGGTGAGCTTGAACCACTGATCTTGTGATTCATACCAACTGCAGTCTAGCACATTAGCCCACGGCGCCACACCAGGACTCCCAAATTTGCACCACCCAGGGACTGGTAGTGGTGTGCTGTGGAGTTGGTTCTGACTTAAGAGTGATCCTGTATAGGGTTTCCGAGGCTGTAAATCTTTATGGGAGCAGAAAGCCTCATCATGCCCCCATGAATGGCTGGTAGTTTTGAACTGCTGACTTCGAGATCTGTAGCCCAACTCATAACTGCGAGGCTACCCGAGCTTTAGGAGGTCCTATTGTGGTCATAGAGGGGAGTGGATGGTGGCTTAATTAAATTCCAGAGTGTTGTGATCTCAGTCTGGTGATTGTCATGTGATCTTTGTTCAGGGATCCGCACTGTGTGTCATTTCTGGCCTCTCACAGACCAGTAGTTTTGTCAAATACATGAGAAATGCATTATCAGAGAAGTAACATTTAAAAAAAACACACCCAAATACTTATAAAATACAAGGATAGATATTTTTATTAGATACAACACATATAAAATGACCGTGCCGAGTTTCTATAGCAGTTTTTGTACGTACCTGCCACAGCTGGGAACAGTTCGTCAGCCATGCTGGTGTGTGGTCACCGCTGGGAGTGACTCTCCTGTTTTGTTTGAGAGCTGGGACAAAGTTCAGTCAGTTTCTTTGTCAGGTCTCTAGGTTGTAGCACACAACAGCCTGTCTGGTTCCAGGCCATGGATTTCCTAATTCCCTAAACTCCTTGTTTCCTGTAGAATCCTTCTGTTGATTGGATTGTCACATTATTCCTCACACTAGCAACTTTCCAATGTGCTGGGATTCCCACATTATGAGCTCAGTCAGCAGACCCAGCGCAGGGTATTATGGGAGTAAGGGTAGGCAGTAAATGCCAGCAGTCAGATCCTGGTCATCACGGTACAGTAAGTAGTCAGGGAAACTCAGCAAGATGTGACCCTGGGCGTCTTCAGAGCCCGTATTTTCAGAATAGTTTACCAGAAGGACAGAGAAGAAAGTAGAACTGATCTGTGTTCTATTCTTTTTCTTCCTCAGCTTCTTGCCAACTGTGGGGGTAGGGGCGGGAAGAGCAGGGGGTGTCCCATGCCTTCAAACAGAATGCAAACTGAGTTTCACTGTGAGCAGAATGACTTGTGTGTTTCGGGGGCTCTTTTGCAGGGGTCGTCCAGGGAGGAGCTCTGCCGAGCATTTGCACGCAGATCCTGGCCAAGGTCACTCAAGAGCAGAGCAAAGTCCTGTGGGTCCCAGCCTGCCCGTTATAGGCGAGTGTGGAGCTGCCAAGGACTGTTCTGATTCCACCTGCACAAATGTATGGCCCCGCTCCTTTCACGGACTGAAAATAAAGACATCTGCACGTAAATGTGGAGGGAAGGACCCAACAAGCCACAACTCCGGAAACTCCACGTTGTGGACAGAAGGCAGCGGCCAGGGGCGCCCAGCCTGTGCCTGCAAACTGCATTCCTCTCACGTGTGTGCTTTAAGACACAACAAAACAAAAACCACGAGACTTTCCAGAGAGGGCTTCAACACCAGCCTTTCATTCGCCAGCCGACCAGAGATGCTGCAAAGAGAACCTTTCAGATCATAAGTTTACAAGCCTTTTTTAAAAAAAGTATTTGGTTGTTAATGTTTACTTGAACGGCTTCCTGCTGTCAGTGCCCAGCCCCTGCCTCCTCTGCCCACCCCTTCTGTCTCTTGCTTTTGTTCCTCTTTTCAGTGAAACAACTCTGGAACCTCATTCCTGTGGTGCTGAGGAATCTTCATCAGTGAGGCCAGAGCATTGACTCAGCAGTGCCCCCTCCTGGATGGACAGTGTCGAGACTGCAATAGCCCCATTGTGTGCCTTTGTGGGTTGACACAGTCATGCTTCTGTCTTCCTGCACAAGGACAGACGGCTTTGGCAGTCTGTCTGACTGTCTCCCCTGCCTTCCATGTCCTCTGGCTTTCTCTCCATATGCACTTAAAATTTAAGTGCTGGATCTAGTCCCCGAGCTCCACAGGTTCGCAGTAACATAGGCTCCAGGCAGGGTGACCCCTTTTGCACATAGTGACAGCCTTTGTCAGTGCAATTTATGCAGGGTAATTCGTAATCTTTATAGTTCAAAGGGTGGTGAGAACATCAATTCTTTTTCATCATCAACAACAACAAAACACTCATGTTTCAGACTTTAAACTTGAGAGCTTTTAGGAGAAAGAAGCATCTTGCTTTGTGTTGTCACTGTGAACAGCCTGCCTGTAAGCACAGGGGGTTTTTGAGTCTGCGTTACAGGATGTGTTCACCTGGGGTCTGTTTTTGCGCTTCTAAAGGGTCACTGCAGCTCATCCAACGGTGTGTCCAGTTCTGAGGTGCTGTGCTGGGCCCCTGCCTTTCTGGAGTCAGATCCTAACATTTCATGTTACTAGCAGGAAATCTCTGGTTTCGTTGTTTTCTTTGTAATGCTAGGCACTATGTTGTAGTTTAGCCATGACTGACATTTTTAAAAAGGGATCTGTTCTCATGCACAGCTGTTGCAGTCCTCAGTGTTGCCTTTGTTTTACAGATACACACTTCCTAGCTCAAACAAGTCAGACAAACTCTAGATGATGTCTCCACCTATTCCTTTGGTACCTTTGGGGGGTTTGTGTTTTCTAAGTCGTGGATAGGGTGGGACTGTGATGATGGTACGTGTGTAAACACACAGGTCCTCTTCTGACAGACTGGGATTTTCTGTACTAAAATGTTACTTTGTATCAAAAGTTAAACAGACTTTAGTACAACAAATAAAGGTCAATTTCTGTAAATTGTTGCCAGTGGACTTCTCTGCCTTTCATTTGTTTTCCCTGCTTTTGGGAAGTTCCCAGTTCCTTCTCCACAGATGTCGGTGCCAGTGGCTGCCATGTGGCGTTCTTTCAAAACCAGCCTCTCTCAGGCTCGCTTCCTTACCCCCTTCCATTGTCTGACTGTCCTGCATGCAGTAGCAACACAGCGGTGTGCACAGCCAGGCAGCTGGTTGGTGGCAAGGATCAGACTGTGCCTTCAGGTACTTGAATTTAGGCCTGGGCTGGGCCGGGCTTTGGAAGGCAAAGAGTAATCTAGGTGTTCTGGGGATTTAAAGCCCCTCACATTCTCAAATCAGGGTCTGCAGAAAAGGTCAGGCTTGGCTTCAGGATTGCACAGGGAGGGAAAGTCGGGGCAGCCCACCTTACAGGCCCTCTGCAGCAGTCTGGGCCAAAAGCCCCATGTTCAGTAGAGGCTCCCCCTTTACCAGCCAGGAGACCAGGGCTAACCACATTAAATGCCTTGAGACTTGGAGGAACATAAGAGGGTAGAAGGTTCCAGAAAACTCTCATGGTTCTGTGGTTGTAGAAGATAGGGACAGATCTGGTGTTGGTCTCTCTTTGGACCTTCCTTCCCTGCTCGGTATCTAAGTCCCACGGTGGACTCGCGGTTTGACCTCCCTAATAGAGTCCAGAGCTGTGTGGGGCTCTGGCTGTTGAGATGCAGTAGGAGCTACGGGTGACCTGTGACCCAGGACGGACCTCTCTCACCCATGTGCACACAGCCACAGGGCCTGGCTGCAACTCCTACAGCCCAGCCCATGCCACACTCAGAGGGGGCAGCTGCTCCCTGGCAAGTGATGTCTGCTTACTTTAGGACGCTTCTTTAAACAACTCACTTATGGTACCAAAACCTTAACAGCATTTGTAGCATTGCCAGTGATTTTTCTTTAAGCTTTTCTCTGTTCGCCACATGTCTTCCAGTGGACTGAAAGGTTTTCTTTTGTAATTAAAAGGAAACAAACATGCCTCTTTTTTAAAGGACCTGTAAAATCACTGACATCACAGATCATTTATTTTTGGATGAACTGAGGTCTTGAGGGTGACTCTCAGTACACAGCAACACGGGGGGGGGGGGGGGCCTCAATTCCTGGAGAGGCTTGTGGCGTGTAGGGGTGTGCACACAGGCTTAGTTATTCTGGGAAGGGCAGGCGATGGCCAGAGCTTACTTTCAGCCCTAGCCATGGGGTCTTGGAGCAGTCATGCTCGGTGGGCTCGATCTTTATAAACTGGAGGAAACGGGACCCCAAGGCATGGTGCACCATCTAACTCCTTGTCTTGCAGGAAGCTGAGGACAGTCCCAACTCCAGGAGTGTGGCACGCGACATTTCCTCTGAGGCAGAGGCGGCTCCTCGCCCTCTAGTGGTCGGGAGTGGAAGCCCAGGGTTTGGAGTAGGAGCCCCAGGCATCTGCTGCCTCAAGCCTTTCTTCCCATTGAGACAAAGCTCTGAGACTGATTGGAGCAGCTGGCCAGCTGGGGGATTGATGGCTGGAAAGCTGAGCTGGCCACTGGTAGAGGACCACATGGGCAATGAATGCAAGGCTGAAGAGGAATGGGCGGAAGTGCAGTGAACGCAGTAAGCATAAACATAACCAGGGTGTTCAGCCTGGCGCTGGGACCATGATCCTCTCTGAGAGGGACTATGGGGTAGCGAGGACAGGCTTCAAGACAGACCTTGAGAGGTAACCCGTACCGCTCCCTTCAGCTGAGTTCTCACCTGTGGGTTTCCTCAGCCCAGATTCCTCCATCCATTCCTACCTTCTAGAATATAAACTTGGGTTTTCTGGCTGGGGCTCTTCAGATTTCCTTGTTATTGTGGGGGCTATAACCTTTTTTATTTTTTTTCTAACTGTGGGATGTGTTATACATGGAGAAGAGCATGTATAATGTGCAGTTTAAAACGAGCTTGGCTCTGCTCCAGCTACACTGGGTAATAGAACAGTGCTATTACCCTGAAAACTCTCGTGCCTCATTCCCGGAAGTAACTCCAAGTCCTGCTTTCTTCATTTCCTTGCTTTACTGCATAGTTTTGCCTCCTATGGTGTATCTTGAAATGATTTTTTTTTCAGTTTTGAGACTACTGCCAGAGAAGTAGTGGGATTCCTGAGTCAGAACTTGAGCTTCCCTGAGAATTTACAAGAGCTCCTTCCCGGGAGATGTGGAGTGAATCCTGGGAAAGTCAGAACTCCGCAGTCATGGCCGGCGGCCATGTTTCCACAGGCCCTGGTTGTCTAGCACTGTCGTGTTACTGTCTTCATGCTCAGCACGGCTAGATTTCAAGAACAAGTCAAAGCTAAACACTTCTGTGGGATGAAGTGAGAGTCTCTAGGTGGTCTCAGCATGGGATCAAGCTGATCCTAGAAGAAATAAGGGGCCAAGACCCCCTTGGCTTTCACCTTGTGGAGACAGGAGCCCCCTGGTTCTCACAGCTCTCAGCATCTCTGTCCTGAACCCCTGGCTCCAGACTTGTCTGCCCTCTAAGGCTGGTTTTCTTAAGACTGTCCTGGGGGTTTTCTGGATTTCATGTTTATTTTCCTTCTCTGGTTTGAGTGATGTGTTTCCTGCGTCACATTTGAGGGAAAAGGTTAACCGCAGATCCGTACTCTTCCACAGGATGGTGACTAGGTTTACTTTGGTGCTGTAGGATCAGCATTGGACTGCTGTCCACAAGGTCAGTGGTGAAACCCACCAGCCACTTCTACGACACCCTATACAAGTTTACTATGAGTCAGACCTGCCTCTATGGAACTTAACAGCATCAACAATATTGCTTTGGGGTTAAAAAAATAAAGACGCCGTCTGGGTTCATCACTGCCTGCTAATCGACACATCCGCACTTGTGTGTGTAGGGATGAGGGTGGCAGAAGTAGACACGTAGACCCCGAGGGCCGACAGAAGAAAGGTTGTATCAACGGGTTACGCTTTCTCCTTCTTTCGGGAGCTTTTCTTAACTCACACATTGGAGATCTGTCTGGTTCCTTAACATTCTGGTCTGGTACAATTTTGTGTTTTTGCTGTTCCTTCAGGGAAACCCTCAACTTTTCATGTTTGTAATTTCTAAGAACACTTTTATTTCTGAATGCCCTTTTTTTTTTTTTTTTTAATAGCATCCTGTACTTGTTTCATGGATGCAGTATCTTCCCATATAATTCCAATTCCTCCACCATCCCCACCCCTATTTACCTTGATATTTATCATGCACATTAGAGGGTTTAATGTCTGCAAATGATTAAAATGTCCAGAACACGTCCAGTTTAGGTCACGAGCTTCCCTGTCAGACAGCTTGGCTGGGCTGCCCTTGGGGAATCTCTGTACGGGTCTGTAGGTCTTTGTTGGATGCTTCATCAGTCTTTGCTCTGGTGGAGGGTCATGGTGCAGTGGGGAGAGAGGGCAGGGCCTGGGGCTCTGCATTCCCCATTCAATATGGAAGATCACTTGATCCTT